ACACACACACACACACACACACACACACACACACACACACACACACACACACACACACACACACACACACACACACACACACACGCGCGCGCGCACACACATTCATACACTACAGCCAATTAAGTTCATCTATTGTTCCTACAGCACATTAGTTTTGTGGGGGAAATCGGAGCACCCAGAAGAAACCCACACCATAAAGTCCCTTACATTTTTCAGCCACTTTCATTATAATTCAATTGCTTATTTATAGATATTTAAATTCATTTTTAGCTGCAGTATGCGTAGCTTGTTTTATTTCATTTGATTATTTATTTTATTTTAATTGATTTGTTTTTGTTTTGTTAAAGTTTTTTTATTTCATTAGGTTATTTATTCTATTGTATTCTGTAGTATTTAGTGCTACAAATTTTTTATTTTGTTTTATTTTATTATTTATAATATTTTATTGTTTTGTTAGATTTTTTGTAATTTTTTACTCAATTTTTTTATTATTTATTTTATTTATTTCATTCTATTATTTATTTTATATTATTATTTAATTTTATTAGCGTGAATAACATCTTTATTATATATTTTTTCAGCTACTTTAATAATAATTCATTCATTCATTCATTCATTCATTTTTCTTTGGCTTAGTTCTTTTATTCTTCAGCGGTCGCCACAGCAGAATGAACCATCAGAATGAATGTTTTACATAGCGGATGCCCTTCCAGCTGCAACCCAGTACTGGGAAACATCCATACACTCTCACATTTAGTTTATTCAATTTAGCCAATTTAGTTTATTCAATTCCCCTATAGCGCATGTGTTTGGACTGTGGGGGAAACCAGAGCACCTGTAGGAAACTCACACCAACACAGGGAGAACATGCAGACTCCACACAGAAATGCCAACTGACCCAGCGCTACCCACCGTGCCACCACACCGCCTTTATTTATTTATTTTTCTTAGTTTTTTTTATTTTTATTTATAGAGAATAACATCCTTACTATCTATTTTTAGCCACTTTAATAATAATTAAAATACATTCAAATAAAAAAAAATTAGCTGCTGAACCAAATTAAACCCAGTGTTTGAGTTGGTCCATGTTTTACCCAAATTGGGGGTAAATAACCCAGCATTGTGGCAAGGTAAAGTTTCTCATTGTTATAGTACAGTAATCTATATGTCTAAATATCTATAATCCACACATATTCAATTTTAATTTTTAATTTTTATTTATTTTTATATTTTTAATAATTATTTTTTCTGAGTTATCACCTTTAATTTTTGATAGGACAGTAGAGAGTATTGACAGGAAAGTGCAGAGAGAGGGGAAGGATCGGCACAGGACCATGAGGCGGGAATCGAACTTGGGTGGCCGCGAGCACCGGAGTGCATGTGTCGACGCACTAACCACTACACCACTTGAATTACTTTTTAATTACAATTATTTATATTAGTTTTGTTTTATTATGTTTATTAATTTTTACTATTTTTTCATTTTATTTTTATTTATTTATTTTGTTATTTATTTATTAGTTATTTATTTTATTGTGTAATGGTTGGTGCTACAATTATTTCATTTCGTTTAGTTTTTTATTTTATTATTTAATAATAATTTATTTATTTAATAATAATAATTCCTTACATTTATATAGCGCTGGGCACTCAAAGCGCTTTACATAATGGGGGGAATCTCCTCATCCACCACCAGTGTGCAGCATCCGACTGGATGATGCGACGGCAGCCATTTTGCACCAGACCGCACACCAGCTGATTGTTGGAGAGGAGACAGAGTGATAAAGCCAGTTATGATATGGGGGAGGATAGGAGGCCATGATGAACAGAGGCCAGTGGGCAGATTTGGCGAGGATGCCGGGGTTAAACCCCTACTCTTTTTCAAAGGACATCTTGGGATTTTTAACGACCACGGAGAGTCTAATCTGAAAGACGGCACTCACTGAGCAGTGTAGAGTCCCGGCACTATACTGGGGCATTAGGACCCACACAGACCGCAGGTTGACCGCTCTCCTCACTAACACCGTTTCCGGCAATAACATAGCTTTCCCATGTGGTCTCCCATCCAGGTAATGACCGGTCGCATCCCTGCTTAGCTTCAGTGGGCGACCATGTGAGAGTTGCAGATATAATATTTATTTAGTTAATATTTATTAAATTTTATTTTTTGTTTTATTTTTATTTATTTATTTTAATATTTATTTATTATATTGTATCATATTTGGTGCTACAATTATTTAATTATGTTTTAATTTTTTTTTAATTTATTTATTTTTTGTTTTGTTTTATTTTTATTTATTTATTTTTATTTATTTATTTTATTGTGTAGTATTTGGTGCTACAATTATTTAGTTTTATTTTATTATTTATTTTATTTTTGTTTTGTTTTATTTTTATTTATTTATTTGAATATTTATTTATTTTATTGTGTCATACATGGTGCTACAATTATTTTGTATATTTTTTATTTATATAATTTTTTGTTTTGTTTTTTTATTTTTATTTTATTTTATTTTATTTAGTGCAAATAACATCCTTATTATCTATTTTTCAGCCACTTTAATAATAATTAAAATACATTCAAATAAACATTTTTTTTTAACTGGTAGTTTAAGTTTTTTTTTTATTACATTAGTAGAACGAACTTTAAACCAATGTTTGAGTTGGTCCATATTTAACCCAATTTACCGCTATATAACCCAGCATTGTAGCAAGGTAAAGTTCCCATTGTCATAATGCAGTAATCTATATGAGCAATAAAGCATTATTAACATCTTTATCCCATTCATCGATAAATAAACTAGCACGTCTAATCTAATTTCTACATCCTACAGTATCAAAATGTCAACATGAATCACATTTGCACCGTGTTTATCTCCTAAACGCATTAGGATTCTGCAGATCAGAGTGTTGAATCACACACACGCCGGCTCTGTTTATATACTGTAGCCAACGCCTGTCTCGAGTCTTTCAGAAGTATGTAAGGAAACACCTTGAATACTGAAAACGCAGACGAACACAAATACAGCACTCCCTCGGCCAGACATCAGCTGTATTAATGACTTTATGAATGTTTATAAAGCCCGTATGAGCGCTGGAAAGGCCTGTTGTCTTTCTTTGACGAAACTCAAGCGGATCTTTTGTCCAGCTGAAAATCCTCACTAAATCCACTAAGAGAAAAGCAGCGTGAGCCCTGAGCCATGAAACGAGCGTGTGATTCCAGTGTAATTAAATATTGAACATACGCCCACTAATGATCTGAATACACGCTGTCAAGGAATATAGGACTGGCTCATATATGACCTGAAATCAAAAACTCGAACGCTCTTCATCAATTTTAGTTTTTGGCATTTTTTTTATTTATTTATTTATTTATTTATTTATTTATTTATTTATTTATTTATTTATTTATTTATTTATTTATTTGTTTGTTTGTTTGTTTGTTTGTTTTTTGTTTGTTTGTTTGTCATTTAAAAAAATAGGTGTTGCATGTTGGCTCAGTGGTTAGCACTGTCGCCTCACAGCAAGAAGGTCGCTGGTTCGAGTCCTTTCTGGGTCAGTTTCTGTGTGGAGTTTGCATGTTCTCCCTGTGTTGGCGTGGCTTTCCTCCAGGTGCTCCGGTTTCCTCCACAGTCCAAACACATCCGCTATAGTGAAATTGAATAATCCTAAATGGCCGTAGTGTGTGTGTGTGTGTGTGTGCGTGTGCGTGTGCGTGTGCATGTGCGTGTGTGTATGTGTTTTTGTGTATGTGTTTTTGTGACATATCAGGACACAACTCTGTATAATGAATTGGGTATGACACAGGTATTACAAAAAGGAGGTGAAATATGAGGACATTGGTGACGCCCTTATTTCTCAAAATGTTTATAAATCCTACAGGATGGGTTTAATCATGGAGTAAAGCTGCACACTGTCTTGTTTGATGGTTGGGTTTCGAGGTAGCGTGGGGTGAGGGCAATACAATATACAGTTTGGACAGCATAAAATGAATGAAAACCTATGTAATGTCCCCAATTTTCACAAAAACAAACGTGTGTGTGTGTTAGAATGAGTGTGTTTGGTTGTTTCCCAGTACTGGGTTGCAGCTGGAAGGTCATCCACTGTGTAAAACAAATGCTGGAATAGTTGGTGGTTCATTTCGCTGTGGCGACCTCTGATGAATAAAGGGACTAAGCCAAGGAAAGTAATGAATAAAAATATTTATTTATTAATTTATTATACAACTAGTTTATTTAAATATATATAATATTAAAATAAATTTGTATATGCCTATTTATGACATGAATACATGCTGTCAAGGGGAAAAAAAACGAACTAAATACTAATAAAAAGACTTTAGTATAGGGCTGGCTCAATTTCAATTGTTGACATTTTTTACAGTTTTATTTATTTATTTATTTATTTATTTATTTATTTATTTATTTATTTATTTGTTTGTTATACAAATATTATCTATTTAATCATTTATAATAAAACATCTGATTCATTAATTCAATTATTTATAATAAAAATATTATTTATGTATTTATAATAAAATATTATGAATTTATCTATGTAATTAATAATATTATTAAATAATTTTTTTGTGACATACACCTATTTGGTGCATCCTTTGATTACTCCAGCCACAATCCATTACTGGGAAACACCCATACACACTCATTCACATACATACACTACACAGTTTTAGCGTACCCAATCCACCTATAGCGCATGTCTTTGGACTTGTGTTCTTTCTTTCTTTCTTTCTTTCTTTCTTTCTTTCTTTCTTTCTTTCTTTCTTTCTTTATTTATTTATTTATTTAATTATTTATTTATTTATTTATTTATTTATTTATTTGTCCATTTATTTTCTTTTTTCAGCTTAGTCCCTTTATTACTCAGGGGTCGCCACAGTGGAATGAACCTCAAACTTATCCAGCATTTGTCAGTTGCTGTGATGCGACAATGCTAACCAAAGCGCCACCGCGTCACCCTTCTTTATTTCTTTCTTTCTTTCTTTCTTTCTTTCTTTCTTTCTTTCTTTCTTGCTTTCTTTCTTTCTTTCTTTCTTTCTTGCTTTCTTTAATTATTTATTTATTAATTAATTAATTAATTAATTTATTTATTTATTTATTTATTTTAATTATATTTATGTGCAGAGGTGAAATGTAACACTGCTGATTTATTTATTTATTTATTCATTTATTTGAAGTTGTTGTCATCAATAAATACATCACATTGTCTCAATTTCTTTTTCCTTCCTCAATTTTCCTTCCTTAGAGATTGTATCACTAAGTCAGTATTCATATTTGTGATTGATTTGCTGGTAATTAAAGAAAGCGACACTGGCACTCAGAGCACATGAGTCTCACAGAGTACAAATGCAATCCAGAAACAAGCCTGATTACCATGGCAATGTCAAAAAAGATGACAAAAAATGACAACTCCCTGCTGCTGAACAAGTGATTTGTGTACACATTTATATAACTAATGTAACAGAGAACAGCAGTTTCTTCTCTTTCAGCTTCCCTGATTATACAGTTTTTCTCAGTGGCTTTGGTGCATTTATCACAACACTATTTACATTTGCACAGTTGATGCATTTTTCAGAACAATTAGTCATTTGTGCACATCATAGTAGCAGTTTTTCCTTGCTTCCAACAAATTGCAAATGATTTTGGACATGCATCAACTGCTTTCATACAACTCTGCTGTTTTGGATGGATGTGATGGATGGATGGATGGATGGATGGATAGATGGATGGATGG